AAAAGTTGGTTAAATACAATTGTATTAGGAGGTTAATCCTAGGATTGGTTATAGCTGCTTAAAAAGATCTTAAAATCTATATTGGTAGATTCTGATTTTAAGTTTGAATGCAGTAATTACAGTAGGTCAGGGGTATTTCTGGGAATGAAACAGCAAAAACAGTGTGTTAGTGCTAGTATATTATAATGAAATGTTAGTGGCTATAGTTTAAGATAATAATGGGGAACAAAGGGTAATGAGGCTGCTTAAAATCAGGATAAGATCATTTAAAGTATTCAAAAGCAGTTTTTAATGGAACTTTCTGATTTTAAAAGAAGAAAAGGGTCCAACCAGCACTTAAAAAGAAAGGGACAAACCTGTATAAATACAGGAAGCCAACAGATTTTAAGGGGTCAGATTTTAAAGAAGAAAAAATAAGGAGAGTTTAGAAAAAAGGTCAGATTTTGAAGATCAGAACAGGGAAAAGTGAGATTTTGATGAGATTTTAAGAGGGAATTGAGAAAGAGAAATCAGTTTTCAGACCAGATTTTTAGATCAGATTTTGAGAGAAATTTTAGACCTAGAGTGAGATAAAAGAAAAAGAATCAAGCAGAAAATCAGATTCCTCTTGGAATCTGAAGAGGAAGAAGAAACAGAAAAGAAACCAAAAGAGAACATTCGCACACACACACACAATCTGACACAGATACAACAACAGAAACAAAAAAATCAGAAGTAGGAATTTGAAACAGAAAAGAAACTGAAATCTGAAATATTGTTCTTTCGTTGAATCTGTTCGGATTTATTTGATTCCATTGTTCAGTTAAAATCTGAAGTTTCTTTAAACTGTTACTGTGCATCTGGGTTTCTCGGGTATTATTATTGCTCAAATCTGTGGAAGTACTGATATTCTGCCAGTATTTTGTTACTGCTGCAACTGCTGAAATTTACTTCTTCTACCTTCATTTCCAGGTACTTATCTTTAAAATTCTATGTTGGAAAGAGATTCAGTATGACGAATCAATGAAGCTTGAATTGCAATTCTATTTTTTCATTTATCTAAGTTTGTTATTATAAATCAATTTTGTTTCATGTTGTTTAATATAGTAGTGTGCTTGACATGTTAATTATCAGCTGATCATTCTCGTTTGCAATTCATATAAGTGTTGTAATAATATTATCCATTCCAGAATTTCCTTAAAGTGTAGTTATGATTGAATTGTCAAGATAGGGAATATGGCATGAAGTCGGCTATTAATTAAGTTTTACGACATTGTTAGGAGGTATAAAGTATTCTGGGAATATCAAGAAAATGTGTGGTTAGTGTATTTCGATTATTTGGCTGCGGATTAAGGTTAGATGATGATTGGTTGCATTTTATCCATATATGGCGTAAATAGTGATTATGGTTAACATCAATAGTCGAAAGTGGCATTAGTATATTCCGCTATGTTTGCAAACATCAAAATATGACGAATAATGTTGTATGCAATATCATCTTATTAAGTCAATTAGGTAGACTTGTTCTCTTTCTTAATAATAAAGGGCCTAGGAACTTATACAATGTGAAAGTTAATGTTTAGCAATAATTCATATAGATTGGGAATCAAATTGGTTTGATTGTATATATATCTATCCCAACTCAATCATAAGCATAATTAATTAAAATAATTAGGCCTATTAGATTAAAAGAAAGTATATGAAAATAAGATGAGATGTACAAGCACAAATTGCAACACTTTATATCAATGGTAATTAGAAATAGAATTTGCACTAAATAAATAATGTAAAAATTGTTCAAAAATACTTCTCCCTTCATAAATCATTTTTGTTAGTTTCATATACAATTCATTGGCATATATATATGTTGTACTTGTTAAAAATAGTATTAATCATATTTTTATTCTTTTCTTTGAATTTGAATAATTGGAATGAATATAATTTATACTCGGAAATTATAATCGACGGGCAACATTTAATAGATTGTGAATTCTTTTCAAAGAATTTAAGGGCCTCTAAAATGGGAGTTCTCATGATTTTCACATAAAAAAATGTATGAATATAATAAACAATTTGTGGAAAATCCATAATACCATTACAAATATTTTGCGCAATTAGGGATGCGTTCGCGTACCCTGATTATATTTTTAAAAGCAAATTCGGATTATGCGTACGCGCAATTTCGAACGAATATTTAATAAAAAGGATTTCTCCAAAAATATTAAAATAATTTCATATAACCCGGGATGTGCAATTCATTGTTTAAATATAAGGGTGGTAACGTTTTTTTTAATTCTATTATAAATCACGAACATATGAATTTGTAATAAAGGACATAATATGATCAATTATATTGTGTACACGTATGCGTGACATGATCCCCGTAATTATGAAAGGTATATAATACGAATATACGTACGCGTAATTCGTTTATATAATTGTAAACAATAAGTAAAAGCGGTAGTAAAAATCATGCAATAAGAACGCATTTAGTAAAAATCAAGATAATTGAGCCAATAATAAAAACAGTTGAGCGACCGTGTTAGAACCACGGAATTCGGAAATGCCTAACACCTTCTTCCGGATTAACAGAATTCCTTACTCAGGATTTCTGGTTCGCAGAATAATAAATACAGTCATTTTCTCCTCGATTCAGGGATTAAAACCGGTGACTTGGGACGCCTTAAAATTCCCAGGTGGCGACTCTGAAATAATTAAATAAATCCCGTTTCGACTGTCCTTCAATTGGAGAAAACTCCCCACGCGCCCCGCGGGCGCGGTAAAAAGGAGGTGCGACAAGAATCATACCTGGAGTGCTGAATAAGTGAGGATATCTGCTTTGCATGTCCTCCTCGGTTTCTTTGGATGCCTCATCGACTGGTTGACCCCTCCACTAGACCTTCACTACAGAAATCTTCTTAGACCTCAACTTGTGTGCCTTCCTATCAACAACACCTACTGGATCCTCCTCAAAACCCAAGATCTCATCTATCATAATTGTATTGTAATCCAACACATGTGACCTATCGGCATGGTACCTCCAGATCATAGACACATGGAATACTGGATAAACTCCCGATAGGCTAGGAGGCAAAGCAAGCTTGTATGCAACCTCTACAACTCGCTCCAACAGCTCGAATGGACTGATGAACCTCGGACTCAGCTTTCCCCTATTTCCGAATCTCATGATACCCTTCATTGACGATACTTTTAAGAGAACCTTCTCGCCCACCATAAATGACAAATCACGCGCCTTCTGACCCGTGTAACGTTTTTGCCTAGACTGTGCTGTGTAAAGTCGCTCCTGAATCAACGTCAACTTATCCAAGGCATCCTATACCAAATTAGTACCATATAACCTAGCCTCCCTATGCTCAAACCATCTGATGGGAAAAGGCATCGTCGACCATACAAGGCCTCAAATGAATCCATCTTGATGCTGGACTGATAGTTGTTGTTATAAGCAAACTTGGCCAAAGGTAAGAATCGATCCCACTGCACTTTGAAGTCAATCACACATGCTCTAAGCATATCCTCCAGAATCTGAACTGTCCGCTTTTACTGCCCATCGATCTGCGGATGAAAGGCCGTGTTGAGCTCTACCTAGGTAGCCAACTCAATTTGTACAACTCTCTAGAAGTGTGAAGTGAACTGATTGACTCTATCTGAAATGATGAAAATAGGAACGCCATGCAACCATACGATCTCCTAAATATAAATATGGGCCAACCTCTTTGAAGTGCATGTAGTCATCACCAGAATAAAGTGTGCAGACTTGGTTAGTCTGTCGAGAATGACCCAAACGGCATCAAATTTCCTCAACATCCGCGGCTAACCAACCACAAAATCTATAATGATGCACTCCCACTTCCACTCCAGTATAATGATCTGCTGAAGTAAGCCACCTAGCCTTTGGTGCTCGTACTTAACCTGCTAGCAATTAAGACATCTTGCCATATACTCAACTATGTCCTTCTTCATCTTCTTCCACCAGTAATGCTGCCTCAGGTCATGGTACATCTTTATGGCACATGGATGTATAGAATACCACAAACTATGTGCCTATTCTAGAGTTGTCTCCCTTATGCCATCAACATTAGGAACACATAAGCGACCCTAGAGTCGCAGAGAACCATCATCACCGATAGTAACCTCCTTAGTATCACCCCGTAACATAGTTTCTCTAAGGACTAGCAAGTGCAGATCATCATACTGACGAGCCTTGATCCGCTCAAATAAAAACGACTAAGCCACAACATATGTAAGAACCTGACTGGTCTATGAATTATCCAAGCTCACAAGTCGATTAGCTAGAGACTGGATGTCCAAATCCAATAGCCCCTCCTCCGCTGAAATGAATGACAAACTACCCATACTCTCGGCCTTTACGCTCAAATCATTCGTGACCACATTCGCCTTGCCCAGAGGATAGAGGATGGTAATACATAAACCTTCAGTAACTTAAGCCACATGCGCTGCCTCAGATTAAGATCTCTCTGCTTTGACAAATATTGAAAATTATGGTGGCCGATGTAGACCTCGCACGATACGTCATAAATATAATGCCTCCAGATGTTGAGAGCATAAACTATGGTAGCCAACTCCAAATCATGCACAAGGTAATTCTTCTCGTGGGGATTTAACTGTCATGAAACATATGCAATGACTCGCCCCTCCTGCATTAATACATAACCTAAACCAACGCGTGAAACATCACAATACACAGTATGCATTCCTGAATCGAAAGACAAAGTCAATACTGGTGTTGTAGTCAATGCGGTCTTGAGCTTTTGAAATCTCACCTCGCAATTATCGAACCACTAGTACTGAGCACCCTTTTGGGTCAATCTAGTCAAATGAGCTACAATAGACGAGAAGCCCTCCACGAACCAACAATAATAATCTGCGATCCCCAAGAAACTCCTAATGTCGGTCGTTATGGTAGGACGAGGCCAACTCTGAACTACCTCGATCTTCTTGGGATCCACCTTAATACCCTAATCTAATATAACATGCCCCAAGAAAGATGCAGAATCTAACCAGAACTTGCACTTGGAGAACTTAGTATAAAGCTTTTGTTCTCGCAAGGTCTGAAGCACCATCCTCAAATGTTGCTTGTGCTCTTCCATACTACGCAAGTAGATCAATATGTCATCAATGAAGACAATGACAAATGAGTCAAGATATGGCTTGAACACCCGATTCATCAAATCCATAAACGCCGCTGGGGAATTAGTCAAGTAGAAGGACATTACTAGTGTAAGGCCCCGTGAAATTTTACCTAAAACCCAAAATTTCATGGTGTCAAGTTAGATTTATGTGTTATAATAGTAGAAATTCTTCGCTGTGAGCAAGCTCGCCACGGTTCAGACTTTTTGGGTTGAACAGTACGAAATAGAGTTAAAGGAAAGTGTTTTGCAGAAATATGTATTTCTGCGGCCTATTATGTGGTCGTATAATCACTCTAGCCGCATTTTGGTCACAGAGTGAGGCAGCCTTTTTAGCCAATTTTGAGATCCGTTTTCGCGGCCAATTATGCGATCGCATAACCATTTTACGGGCCGCACTTTGGCCGCATAACTATTCTTGAACTTCTATGAAGGGAGGTTCTGCGACGCATTATGCGACTGCAGAATAGGTCAACGGACCACATATTGGCCGCTGACCGAGGTAGAAAATTCAGCTCCCTGAGGGCCACTTTTTGAGGTCATTTTGCGGGCTGCATAGCATTATGCGGTCACATATGCAACCACAGATCCGTGTCGGGGCTCCAAATTTCTGAATTTTAAACCCGATCCCATGTCGTTAAAACATATGCTGAGGCTCGTTTTGAGCCAATTTCTAATGCTTTAGAGTGAGAAAAGGAGTCTTAAAGTGAAAGAATGATCCTCAACTAATTTCTCCTCAACTCTTGCTCAAGACCTTGAAGATTGTCAAGTAAAGTTCACTAAGTCCTCACCTTAAAGGTAAGAATCTATGCTCTATCTCTTAATTTCGAAATTTCTACTAAAATAGGTAATTAGCAAGATGGTTCATGGGCTTGAGGGTTGTTTGTTTTGCATGCATGGGTGGTGAAAGAGTGTAGGAAGATTATGGACTAAAATGATAAAAGATGGGTTGCGGAATGATGGAATCTTACAAAACAAGAGTCTTAAAACATAATGCACACATAGTGTTTGATAGAATGCTTTTGTGAGCTAGAATTATACATCATTCTCCTAATTTTGGGTTCAATTCTACTATATTGCAAAAATAGAATGAAGTTGCTAGTTCTGGAAATATCTTAAAGTTTTAAGAGCTCAATTGAGGTATGTATGGCTAGACCTCCTCCTTCTTAGAATCGAAACCCTGGTGTTCAGGTAATTGGTGTAAGTCCCTAAATTGATCATACTAAAATTGACTGCCATATATGTTGTGTTGAAAGATTCGTGTTCAATATTTGCTCTAAATTGTTCATCATGTTATCGTGCCATTTGAGGATATGTTAAAATGTGGAATATGTGTTGAAAAAGGTTAAAAATTCATGCCAAGAATTGAATAAAGATTGTTATGCCAATTTTTATGGAAGGCCTCTATGTGCTTATGATTTTTCCAAGTCTTCCCCTTATGTGTACAAATGCCTTACATTATAGGCCTTATTGTTGTTGATAATAGTGTTATTGAATGTGTAAAAAGGGAAACTTGAATTGTAAAATACGGCCAAGTGCCAAGAATGACTTAATGAATGAGGCCACTTGTGCCAAGGTATTGAAAGATGGGAAAGAAATATGAAGTGAGATAATGGAATGAAAGGATGATGTCTCAAGTGAGATGGCCTAGCCGATCAGACCATGACCGGACGCCATGCCGCACACATGGTGGTAACTGTGCTGGAAATGATTGATTGAAATTGTGGATATGGGTGATATCTCAAATGAGATGACCTAGCCGATCGGGTCGAGATCAGACTCTGTGTAGGAACACGGTGGTATTATGGATTGTGGCACATGGCACTAAAGATTACCAACCTAATAAAAAGAAAATTGACTTGAGAACCTATGTAATCCTTACTTGATGTTTTGGTATTTGTTTGACGCTCTTATTTTACATCATGACTACTTCCTCTTTGTTTCATTGTTCATTCTATTAAGATTGGTGTTTAGCTTTACATACTAGTACTATTCAACAATACTAACATCCATTTTGCCGGGGGCGTTACATCTTTAAATAGATGTAGGTGGTTCCATAGCAGACAATGTTGATCGCAGTCAGTGGTGCATCATCATCATCATCTTCCCAACAGACTTGGTGAGCCCTATTTCTTCCCAGGGTCTGTAGTACATCTTTTGTTTATATGTTTACCGCGTTTTGATGTATAGCCAGGGCCTTGTTGCCGGCATTATCATAACTGTCTTTTGTATCTTTAGAGGCTCCACGGACATTTATGTGGGTTGTATATGGGCATTGTAAGGGTCAGTGGATTATGTTGTGGTTTGAACCCTTGTTCCTTTAAATTGTAAAGCGTATGAAATTTTGAAAACCTACCAATGATTTAACAAATGAATCGACTTGGAAATATTTACAAAAACCTTCCTATTGTGTAATTAATATAACCTATTTTCTTGATCATAATGAGTTGGGTAGAAAGTGTCTAATAGGCTTGCTTAGTCGGGTTTACTCGATTAAGTGTCGGTCGCGCCTCCCGAGGTTCGGGTGTGACAACTAGAAACTCATAGTGCCCATATATAGTCTGAAAAGTTGTCTTCATTATATCCGAAGCATGAATTCTCAACTGATGATACCAAGATCTCAAGTATATCTTAGAGAACACTCTAGTACCCTATAACTGATCAAATCAATCATCAATGTGGGGCAATAGGTACTTATTCTTGATGGTGACTTTGTTTAGCTAGAGAAAATAAATTCACACCCCGCATAATCCCATCATTTTTCTTCATAAAATAATATTGGTGCACCCTAAGGCGACGCACTCGGTCTGATGAATTCCTTCTCGAGCAATTCCTGAAGCTGCTCCTTCAACTCCCTTAAATCTATTGGAGCCATGCGATAAGGCGTGATAGAGATAGGCTGGGTGCCCGGAGAAAAATCAATGACTAAATCGATGTCACGATCCGGTGGCATACCTGGTAGATAAGCAGGAAATACATCGGAAAACTCCCGTACAACAGGCATTTAATCTATCGTTAGCATTTCAATAGTGGTGTCCTGAATAAAGGCCAGATAGGTCAAACAACC